CACGGGGCAGCCCCGGAGCGGGGCAGGGAGCCCCATCCCGCGCAGGCACCGGGGCCTCCCTGCTCCGTCACGGAGGCACTGGGAGCTGCGGCCGCTCATATCCCTTCCCGGCACTCCCATTCCGTAGGGATCACAGCACTTAGACACCCAAGAGCCAGGTTATCACCCCCGTGAGCCCCTCGCCCGCATCCAGGGAGGAGGCAGCATCCAAACGCAGGAAGCCCTTTGGGAGAACGGGCTACTTGGGCCATTTTCATTCACTCATTCTGCATGGCAAAGCCCGGCCAAGCGGCCCCATCGCGGATCTGAGCACGGATAACGTGGGACGAGCACGGATAACACGGGATAACACGTTCCACCCGCTCCCGCCCTGCCCTAGTGCTGTGCCCTTAAATCCCGGGATTGGGGCAGGCCAGGACGGGGGCTGCTCGTGGCTGGGCAGAGCCCCGGGCGAGCAGAGCGCACGTGGGGGAGCACCCCGAGCCCGGCCACGGCGCTCAGCATTTCCCTGCTTTAGCCCCCGGCATCACACGGGATTTCCCCCATCGCTCAGGGACGCAGATGGGTGCCCGGAGATACCGCCCACGCTGGGCTGTGATTCCCATGGGCAACTCGGAAGCAGCGGGACCAGCAAGAGCCTCATAGGGCACTTGGCCATTGGACAGGGCGAGGGATGCATCACCCTCACGCCACTGCCGGGCTGCTTGTCACCGCCCAAACCACCTGCAGGGTTGGGACTTACTGTCCCCGGCACGGCCTGCTGTCAGTAAGTTCAAGAGTACACAAGGGCACAGGCAGCGTGAGCCATTTCTAAGCCCTACCAATCGCACGTTTCAGCTGTGCCAAGCGCCTGCAAGCACGGGAAAGCAAGCTGGAAAACCGGTGGGAAAAACCAGGCAGCAGATCAAGGCCAGGAATAAACATACAGAGATCCATGTGCTGGGGCTAAAAGCAGCCTGTGCGGGAGGAGGTGCGATATGAGCGGCAAAAGCGGATAAAAATCCCCGCCCGGTGCCACTTCCGAGAGCGCCACAAGCCCCAAAACAGCCGGGAGGGCGACCAGGGCCCAGCCTGGCACCCACGTGGGGCGGAAAGGACCAAGGGCAGGAGACGGGGAGGAACAGGGAAAGCTCCTGCCGCAGCCGAGGTCTGGGATGGGCCCGGCAGGAACGGCTGGAGGGGGCTGCAGGGCAGCGAGAGGGAAGGAGAGGAGAGGAAAAGCCAAGGATTCATGGAAACGGGAGGAAAAGAATAACTGACGAAAGCCCCAGCGCCCAAGCGAGAGTCTAAATGTCCCCAGAGCTGAGGACGGGGTGACAGAGCAGCCCCAATGCAGGGAGGGGGGAGCTCCGCAGGGCAGCCCCAATGCAGCGAGGGGGGAGCCCTGCAGGGCAACCCCAATGCAGCGAGGGGGGAGCGCCGCAGGGCAGCACCGATGCA